AAGATGAATAAAATATATACAAGATTCTATTGATATAAATTGTACAAAAAGATAAATAGAAATTAAATCTACAATCAAACGCTAAATTCGTACAATATAATACTTCAAGTACCACAGAAATAAAAGCTTTCAAAACATCAAAACATTGAAAAATCATGAAGAAAAGTGAAAGACCCAGACAATAAACTTAAGTTTTCTGTGAGAAATATAAAATATAAAATTTGCCGAACTAAGAAACGAAGTGTGACGTTTCATTTGTGCACATTATTGAATTTGACTTATTGGATAGCCGGTGGAACAGAGAGTGGAATGGAGTACCTATGAATAGATTTGCTGAATAATTTTGTATGTGAATGAGTTCGTGACAGAGAAATATGGACTAACATTTATAGTCTGGGGCACTTTTTAAAAGAAGCCGGTCTGCGTTTCACTTGCAATTTAGTTTTATCTTAAGATGCTTTACTTGAAGAATAAAACTTTGTCAATGCTATAGTTTTTTAGCGACTTCAAAATGTCGTAATGAGTTCGGCTGTATTTTTTGTGTTAAGCGTTATTTAGATAGGAATTCCTACTTATTTAAATACGGCTAATAAATTTATAAGATAACTGTGTAGTAATAATTTAATAGAGTTTTACTGATTTCACCGTACAATGTCAAATATACAAGAAATTAATTTGGATCTATACATAATTTTACAACAAAAAAACGTGTGTGTACTTATGTATGCACCACGTAAGAAGTTATACTTCATTGGCGTAAAAGAACAAAAATTGCTAAAGATTTTATCCCGTGTGTCAAAACTATCTGTTTCTAAAAGAAATACAGCCAACTTCATCATGTCACTTTTTGGCTGTCGGTGTGCGCGCGCATCGTAATAATTTTATTCTCATATTTTTTTCCAAATGTGCTAAAAGTGCTAATTATAACGATAAAAAATTATAAAACAACGATATAAAGACTCTATTACTCCGTCGTTCTGAAATCAACGGCAGGTGGGTGGACTTAGACCGCGTAAATTTCATTCCAGCCAACCATTTCAAATTACATTGAGATATACAGCTGTGGTATATCTGGTGGTGGAGTGATTGATTTATTTAACATTTTATTGCATACATTTTACCATTTTGCAAGAAATTGGTAAAGTTTTAGAAGCATGTACTTAAACTAAACTGTCACTATCGTTTGATTGTGAACCCAAAAGACAGATATAGAAAATCAGTATTGGACAAGGTCTCAACAAAGTCGGAGTGGCCTTCCTTCCTATCTGTAACAGACTGCCCTGCTACAGACATCAATGTTTTTTTTTTTAATTATTTTGTTTTATTAAATTTTATTAATGGCAGTGGTAGCCCCGTGGTAATTGGCTTGGGAAACGGGTTCAAATCCTGGGTCTCATATTCCTGATATGATATTTTCGTGTTAGAATTATTACCATTGTCTTGGGTGAAGGAAATTACCGTAAGGAAATCTGCAATTCTGAGAGAACCTAGCAGGTTTTCGAAAGACATGTGAAGTCCACAAGCCCGTACTTGGCCAGCATGGTGGACTATCTTCCTCGTATTGAAGGCCTATGCCAAGCAGTGGGACGTTAAAATGGGCTGAATACATACGTACATACATAATGTTATTGTATTGCAGTATATAAATATCCAAATAAAATATTTATTTATTTAAGGGTGGGCAGAGAACGACCCTCTCACTTAACCTTGACTTAATATATTAGTGATTACTAGGCAGTATTGCTACTTATAGCAGTACCAATCATCCTCTATAACACATCTTCTGTTCCCATTCTCATAATCCTTTTAGAAAAATTATAATATCTGTATTAAAAGTGTCCAAAGCGTATATTTATTTGTTACCATCGTGCAAGTCATACTAGTTTGCTATTTTATAAAAGTGTATTGTATAAAAATATCTTAAAGCTCACTGTTTGCCATTTGTCGTTTGAGATAGCACTTAGCACTTCTGACTAGTAGTAAGTGTAAGAGATATAGATTCAGCAATTGAAATGAATATAGTTTATAATAAATAAATATGTTTGGACATTAACACACAGCACCATCTAGTTCCATGGTAAGCTACGAGGCCTGTGTTATGGATAACAGATAGTTGATACACTACACATACATAAATTAAAGTACATAATATATATTATTGATATAAGCACCCATGACTGGAGTACAAACATTCTTGCTCATCACATAAATGAATGCCCCCAGCGGAACTCTAACCCGCGACCGCTGGCACAACAAGTAGTGTCACTACAAACTGAGCCAAACGTGTCGTCAGTTAAATATAGGTGGGGTTTGATCGGCGTATCTCAATAACCTATCTATTTGTGGTTTTCCATACCAAAGATAGGAATTTCATATAATTTGTATGGAGGTTATGGCAAATTTTTATTTCTAGTAAGAAAACCTTAACAAAGATTGAGAACTGGATTCAATGTAGGCTAAATTAAAACGACTTAAACATAGAAAAAAAAAACACTTTAGAATAATCCAGTAGAAAAATTTGAATTAAAAAAGCGAAGTATTAGAGTGTGCTCTTAGTTAATTAATTGATCCAAATTAGATTACACGGTTCTGTAGCTTGGAATATTCAACAAAGGGGACGGGACCCTAAATTAATTATTTCAAATGCGTTTGTCTTACTTTTAGAAAAGTTTCACCATTTAAAGCTTTCCACAGACTAGCGTTTAAAATTGCTTATATTTATACCGTGAACGATATTTAATATGTTTCTGAGACAAACTTATATAGGTATGATATTTAGTCCTTTTTAATGTCCCACTGCTGGGGGTGAGCCTCGCTTCAATGTCAGGGGGATCATGCTCTGGCCAACAGCGAGTTGGCGGACTTTACATGCAGATTACTTCACGTATCGTCGTGTACATGATCAGTGGTAGTGATATTGGAATTTTAAAAAAATATGACAAAACATTTAAAAATATTTAAAAAATTATTTTGTTTAAATTAAATAAAAATCTAACATCTATCCTGCATACAGTTCGAGCTATTATACCATTTAGTCAGAAGCTAAGCCTTTTTTACTAAAAGATAATTTAAAAAGCCGTTAAAACGCGCTTTTAACCCGCTAGCGTGTATTTGAATGTCACCTGCCTTACAATGGTCGCCGATTTGTACAAGAGTTTTCCTCGTTATTAATTAGTCAGTCATTAAACTTCTGAATTGTTACGTTAAGAAAATTTGGGTTGATTCCAAATACAATTGTTATTTGAAGCTAGAAGAATATTCTTTTTACAATGTACATATATTAGACTAGCAACTCAACCTCGCTTTGCTCGGGTTCTCCCTAGGTTGCTTCCCTATTCAAATTTTCATCCCCATTTTTACCCCATTAAGGGGTGATATCCGGGATAAAAACTACTTATCCTATGTCCTTTCCAGAGTCTTAAGCTATCTTCTTACCAAATTTCATCTAAATCGGTTTAGTAGTTTCGGAGCTTTTTCGGTACAAACAAACAAACAAAAAATCTTTCCTTTTTATAATATTAGTATAGATAGTATAGACTAGCGTCTTACCATTGCTCATAGCCACTTATCATTAGTCATAACCTATTTGTGTACTGAATTTCATCCAAATCTGTCCAGCCGTTCCATCGTTTCGGAGAAACAATCATATATACAAACAAAGTTTCGCATTTATAGTAGTAGTCCGATGTGATACGTAATTCATTATGAGTTAGTGCGTGCCGTTAGATTTCTAATACTGCTTTTATTTACTTGACCAGAGTGATTTTAGTTATTCATAGTTTTTGTGTTGAGCGTTTTGATTCCCAAAGGTTCGCATCAGGAGCCTTTCACTAAATATACTTCGTCTATGCTGCTTTTTCATAAATAGGAGTATCCTCATACAAGAAATCTGCAATTTTTAAGTTTATTAATTTTCTTACATTCAAGAAATATATTGATTTGAACTTTCAAACACACAGACTTAATGTGGATCTAGAGGCGGAAGCTTTTAACAGTGCGTTCACTTAAATTAATTTAGTGTACACTGTAGTGTACTGTATAAGCACAAAGAAAGATTATTTTTAAATTCAAAAAGGTTGAAAATAGGTCAAAATTTCCAATAAATTTACTTGTAACTATGCACACACTGCCCCAAAACCAAAGAACAATTTTAATACTTTAACCCCAAACAGAAACCGAACCCACACATTTGATCAAAGTAACACCAGTCACAAGGTCCTTTAAATTGGCCAAATGCAGTTGTAATTTCTAAAATACTATCAATCTGATATCTAGTAAATTCAATCCAAATTTTTGGCAATTTAGCTAACAAGGGAGCTAAGGTATCGGCTGATAACTGGCAAAATGCAACTCAGCGGAAGTGAATCTGCACGTATGTACCAATTAGACTATATTCACATCCGTTACTTCACTAGATATTTTAGGTTGAAACGTGATTCTATTGATATATCTCAATTTGGAAAATAGAAGATATGAAATCAGGAATAATAATTTTACTTTACATTCTTTTGAGGCGACGTTCGATGTAAATGATTACCGATATTTTGATTTTATAACAAAAACAAATACTTAAATGAGATTTACATAAAATTAAATACACTCCTAAATTGAGCACCTCCACCTTTTTGAATTTTTAAAGTTGGTGTAATACAAATACAAATTGGTTATTCCATTCAAAAACATGTTATTGATGGTATTGGTATATTGTTGGTGAACCTCAGATAATTTCATGTATAAATTATTTTCAACATGATTACCATTCATCGTACAATAAAGGAAAATCTCGAGGAAACCTGCATGTCTAAGAGGATCTAACTATTTTTTTGAAAATATGTAAAGTCCGCTAACCCGTAGATGTTAAGTCAGCGACTACAGCCTGATCCCCTCGTATTAGAGCTTCACGCCGAGCAGTAGCACGTCAAAAAGGGCTAAGCAATTATTGACAATGATCAAAGTTATTAATAACAAAACTTATAGAAATACGTAAAATAGTTACTTACGTAAATATTCTGATCTTCAGGAGTAATTTTCTGTGTACCGTTATACCATTCGATGGTTGCTGCTGGTCTTGCACCGGATACTTCGCACATGAGGGTTAGGAGTGTACCCTGCGTCGCGTGATCCCCCACACCCGAAATGACGATCCTGTTAGGTGGAACTGAAAACAAAATTTATACATTATACATAAGTTATATAAAGAGTTTAAGATTTAGTTCTTAAAAAACTATCTTTGTAACAAAAATACTTTCTTAGATTTACGCAAATATTCGACATTTTAAGTAAAAAAAAGGATTTATTTTGATTTTTGGTTCCCGACGTTTTCATCCCATCATCCATTGTTCCGTCAGGAACAAAATGTCATTGTTCTAAAAATTATAACACATTTACTTAGCAATATGGGATTTTTGTGGTATTTTTATTAACAAATGATTTTTAACAGGTTCCAAATATTTTGTGCTTCGTGGTCTTTCTGGTTTGTTCGTATAAAGGCGAAGTATGGTAGTTGGAGATTACTGACATAGAAATCTTTAGTGGTCGGTCCTGCGCCTGATATTTCAACGGTTGTGTTTAATTGTTGTTCTACTGGACTTAGTATTAGTACTAACATGCCAATACTATAATATCTTCCCTGCAAATCATCTCACCAAGATATTATATATCCATATCTTCCCTGCAAACTATCTTGCTGAGATATTTTCCAGGGAAGATATTATAGTAGAGTAGAGAGAAATTCTAGCGACTTTTAGTACACTGAATACTTTGCAACACAAAGTAATTCAAATATTTGACCACACCAAATTACCATCTATTTACTCTCCTATAATGTACTCGTATCTACAAGTATATCGGTAAGCGTGTATAAACAAAATAATAACGAACAAACTTATTTTGTTTCTCTCTTAGTTACATATATGGAAATGTTGCTCAATTCCCGTTTATATTATATTAATTAGCTTTCGCCCAAGGCTAAGCTCGCATGGTGCGTCGATAATTTCCCTATTTCACTCAACTTTGTAGATAAGATGTTATTCTATAATCGCTATCGCCGATAGAAAACGTAAGTAAGCCGTCGTCAGAATAAACTTCTTCTTCTCCCTCTGCCCATTTCCCAATCACTTGGGGTCGGCGCAGTACATCCTCTGTACTGCTGATAGGATTTGGCAAAAGTTTTATGACCGGCCTGCCTGTCGTCAACCCTCCTTGGGAATGCTATTGTCTCTCTTTGTCTGAATGGTATCGCGGAAGGCTTGTAATTACTATGCACTTTCGATTTTGTTGTCTTTCAAACATTTTTTATACTATTACTGAAATTTTTAATGTTATTTTCGGATATATTTTAAAATAAATTTTGATTACACCATAAATTTAGTTTTGACGTTGTCAAAAAAAAAATCGTCAGAATAAACTATTCTCATATAATATTATGTTTTATTTTTCCACTTTCCATATCCATTCTAGTAATCGACTCTTTCAAGGAGGCTGCGAAGTTCCAGAGTTAATAAATAAATTCCTCATAACAGCAATGTTATCTTCGTACATACATAAAAGAATGATTACGAACAAAAGGTATCAATAAATATAATTTACAAGCAGAGATAGATAATATCACATTTAGTGATGCTTTATTAACGTTTTTACGTACAATATTGACAATAAAATTTCCCAAATTAGCGTGCTCCTTGGCAATATATGTCTCGTAAAGCGTAATAACGGTTTGTGATGGGATTGCTTATTAATAGGTCGAAGGGATCATAATAGAAACGTAATGTTGTTATTTTCATAAATAAAAACGTAATAGGAGATCATTAGGCATAGTACTAAATCCTTGAAGGTTGCAGCTTCGATTTTTAGAAAGAAATAATCATTATAGTTTTTTTTCAATTTGATTGTAAAGTGGCTTAGAATGGAACATATACAATTAATATAATTTTTTTAATGTTTACATATTTAAAAAAAAACTTTTTGTATGAAAATTATACGTATTTCGTTACTATATAAGAAATACAGATTAAGAAAAATGTACTGTGTGTACTTTAGAACTTATAATAAATACAAAAAAAATTAGCTAGTGTTTATTGCATGCGACATTATGTCGATGTGGTTTTATGTTTAGAATATTTCTAAACAGTTTTTAAAGATGTGTTTAGAATTTTACGGTTGATCATTAAAAAATGATGATAAAATTTAAATTAATACCATTTAAAAAAGTCAACATTAGTATTTTGATTATAATACAAAGTATTTACCTATACTACTGATTGTATTATCTATGTACTTACATAATATTCTTTACATATAATTGTAACTAAGCCAAATCTGTTCATTAAATATTTTTTGGAAAATCTTATTGAAATTGACATTATTATATAGAGAGGCCGAATCTATACTTTTTAGTATTTTTGTCTGTCTGTCTGTGACCGTATCACGAAAAAATACCAGAGGGATTTTGATGTTTAGTATGGATGATAGCTGGTTATCCGGGTCAACATATAGGATACTTTTTACTGCGGGAAAACAATCTCTGAGAAATCTCTACATAGTATAAAACATAGTCGCTTCCCGCTGTCTGTATGCTTTTTTTATATGTTGGGATATTAACATACAGCGCCATCTAGTTCCATAATAAGCTACGTGGCTTGTGTTATGGATACTAGATAGTTGATACACTACACATATGTAACTTTTTTTTAAATACATATTATAAATAAACTCCCATGACTGGAGTACAAACGTTCGTGCTCATCACACAAATGCATGGCCCCAGCGGGACTCGAACCCGCCACCGTTGGCACAACAAGTAGGGTCACTACTAACTGAGCCAAACGTGTCGTCAAATTTAGTTAGATCTTTAAAACTACGCAACGGATTTTGATCCAGTTTTTTAAATACATAAAGTGATACAAGAGAAAGGTTTATATGTATAATATATGCATAATATTATAGTACAGAATAACCGAGAAATTCAAAGATTTCTATTTCATACTAAACGTTAAAACGTACCTAGGGACGAACCCGAGCGAAGCGAGGGCAAGTCGTTAGTCGAAATATTAATAATATTTCATACATTAAAAAATCATTCATACATTAATAATTTATACATTAAAAAAATCATATTCCAAATTCAAAGGCAATCAGACAGTAATTTCTACGCATAGGCTATTATTTACGTTAGGCCTCCTTGACACGCGCCTGGGGGCTAATACTTTCGGATTGGAAATGGTGCAAGATGGAAACGCGTGTGTGTACAATATTTAAATATGCAAATTAAATTACTTATATACTGCAGAAAAATATAATATAGTTAGATTTAAAACATTCTTCTTTCATTCTAAGTAGAAGTAATGTACCGGTTTGACATCTATTTTTATTTCATATACCTTAGTGAAACACGATTTATATGCTGCAAAAAGTCGCTGATTAGAATAAACAATGTTCGGGTATTCGGTGTTCGGGCTAATCTTGACAAATGCTGTACGAATTTTCATAAGGTTTCTATCAATAGAAATTGGTATTATATTTGTTTCAAGCTGAGACGCCTGGACGGATTAAGATGAAATTTTGTGCACAGATAGATAATGACTTTGATTAACGCATAGGCTATGCGATACATCGGTAAGTCGCTTTCTAATATTATATATACATTGTACATAATATATGCTAAAGGTATCTAGGGATGCAGCAGAGCGAAGATATTGAGGTGGGATTAAATAATTAAATATATTGGGACATTACCACACTATACACACCATGTAGCACCATGATAAGCTACGAGGCTTATGTTTTGGATACCAGATAGTTGATACACTACACATGTTTAACTTTTAATACATACATATTTTAAATATAAACACTCATGACTGGAGTACAAACATTCGCGCTTATCACACAAATAAATGCCCCCAGCGGGACTCGAATCCGCGACCGTTGGTACAGCAAATAAGGTCACTACAAACTGAGCCAAACGTGTCAGATCACTAGTATATTTAAAAATGTAACATTATTGAGTACTCATTGTTTTGAGATTACATTTAACCCTTCGACTAAAGCAACTTATATCTTAGTCCATACACAAAACCATTGGAAGTGATGATTGGCCCATTACTTACACTGTAAGGGTTTTGACCCACCCATATATATCTGGCCAGGGTCGTAGCGATATGACACGATTGAACAATGTTTAACTTATATTTTAAATTCACTGTAATGTAACTTGTAGTTAAATAAAAGAAGATTAAAGATTTTTTTGGCTTTGAGGCTCTACTCGAGTGCCTTTTCGAACTATTATTATGGTTTCTAATAAAAAAAAATATATATTTTTTCTGTGCGTATAGGCTATTTTAAATACGTTTTCAAAACGCCTACATACTTATGGTTAAAGTCATCTTTATACCAATTATTATCATCAAAATCGGTTGACAAAGTAAATAAACAGACAGACAGTATCTATTAGAATGACATTTATAATTTTAGTATGGATTTGTGCTATCACAATACGGCCCTGTAAATATAATGGCGTGGTCATGTTATATATCGATAAATGTCAATATATCGATGGTACAAATCGCTTTAACTTATACACTTGTCGCAAAGTTGACAATTTATTGTTTGTATAAACTGTTTTGTAATGTGGTGGGAGACTTAGGAGTTTCTATAATATACGACATTAGCTTAATGGTCGCACAGTGCTTAGACTAAAATATTTACGTTTTACTTAGAAAATTGATTATATTTTTTATTGTATCTCTAGAAAGTAAAAATTTGTTCAAAAAAGTTATAAATAATCTATTAGCTAGGCCTCGTTAGTCTATTAGCTAGAATATACGGCTGTAGATTCTAAGGTTCTGGGTTTGAATTTCGAGTCGGTCCAAATTTTTGATAGAAACGCGCCGAAGGATTAAGTCGAAGTTATACACTTCTGTACCCTGAAGAGTACGTAATGCTATCGGTCCTGCGCCTGTTTTCTTATTGTTTGTATAGAACTTTTATCCTGTTTATTATGATATATATAGATTATGAGATTGAACGGAATAGAGAGTGCATTAATGCTATCTTAATATGCCTAACAAAATTTGGAAATATAATTTTGGCAAATAATGGTTTTGTTTGTTCTTGAGTGTTTTAAGAATTATTTTTTTTATATTATTATCTAAACAAGGA